ACCTAGGCATAAGTTGCGAAACTCGCGAATATTTATCGTTTACGAATTAAAATCAATTTAACATTATAAAGTTTATCAAATGTCAAAAAAATCCATGTTCTTGACTAGATAGGCAAATTTAAAATTCAAAATGTTATGTTGAAGGGGTATAATATTCAATATCCTTGGGTGTTTCCTGGTCTTGGTTTCAATAATAGCCCGGCAGATATGTGAAAAGATTGTGCTATTGGTGATACAAGCATGAAATTTGGGACACTTATAGAACCATCTACTAGGAACATATTTGGATGTAGGGACATTCAGAATTTATGATAGAGCTCAAATGGCCGCCGTTTTTCAAAAATGGCGGCCATTTTTTAAAATGGTCATTTTTGTTTCGTACGTAACACAAGATTGATGCAATATAGATATATTTTTTTAATTTGAAAAAACACACCAATGATGATTTTTACAATACAGCACACTTTAGATTTTCTCATTATTCACAAAAATTAAATTTTAACTATCCAAAGTCAGAAAAAGCTGCGAAAATGAACAGAAAATGTCATTTAACACCAAATGTCATTTTAACACTCTGGAAAATGTCTCTGCTTGAAACAAAAAAACAAATTTGGAGCCAAGTGATATGGCTACCCATGATTGAGTACAAATTTAACAGTAATCCATACTCCCTAGAGTAATCTATCGTGTGCTTTCCCCTCCACAGTAACACAAAGCTGTACACTGGAGTGCAGCTTTCACACACTTGCACTGCCCTCTGCAGCCCTTTTTGCATCTGCATGTAATCAACTGTCGACACGCCTCTGTTGCCTCTGGGAGGGTTGTCCAATATATCCCCCAGCCATTTTCATTCTTAACCCAACCCCATTCAGTTGGCAAAGGAAGCTCTGGTATACAAATCATCATTTGCCCCCAACAGAAACCGGCTTGATATGCAGCTCTCTTGATGTGTTGTCTAAGTGCCTCTAGAGTTGGTGGAATGGCCTCTATTGATCTTCCACTCTGCGTAAAGAGATGTTTGCGAGCCACGTTAACATGTTCCTGGCAGCTGGTACGATCGTAGAGTAAGACAACAAAACGCTCCAAAACATCCATGTAGTCATCCACACTTGAAATGGTTGGTGTGACAGCCAATGCACTGAAAGCTTTTGTGACTTCATCAGATATCTCATTACAGGCTCTCCATGTCTCCCATGCTGTTTTCTTCCCCCTCCCACTGAAACATGACACAGTGTCACATCCAGTAAGGGCGTGAAAGAATGGCAAACCATGGCACTTGCTCGGTCCCAGTGTCATGGCTATCTCGTGAGCTGCCACGTATCTGAAGTTCTTTCCTGTGGCAAAAGCAATCCATAATTCTTCAATTTCCAGTCGTTCTGCTGCTGTCACTGCAAGGACCACAACGTCTGTATCCACTGTACGGATTGACACTTTAGTATAACCCTGCCTCACTGCATCTTGAACATGGAGTAGTATTCTCGTATCTGCCTCCTCATGAGTACATGGAGCAAGACCAGAAACATCCCGGGATTGTGTACAGAGCACATCTTTGTGGTTTGTGCTGATGATTTGCTTTGTAGTTTCTGCGGTTGCTATCCTCATTGCAAGAAAGGCAAACAACTCTACTTTGTTTTCATCTATGCGAAGGAAGGCCTGCCAGTTTCCGGGGATGGAACTATGTGGCTCAACTCGCCTTCTAATGCCTTTACCCCTCTTCTTCCTGGTGTCTGATTTCAAACTCTCTGGAAAGTATTCATCCCAAACAATATCCACCCTGCTCGTATGTTGCAGCTGAGATATGATGTAGGGCAAGAATACTAATGATGAATACTCGGAGAAGGTTTTTGCATTACCAGGTGCCAGCATGTTGACGATAGCTGCTCCATCTAGAATCATTACTTGAACAGGAGGACTAGCAGTGTCATTTTCGCGTGGAGTAATCTGATCTTCTAAACACTTAACCAAATCAGATTTTGTTCCTTGCCTAATTTTGCCCATGTGTGACAATGCTGGGGGACAAGCCTGATTCTCATGTGCAAAGAATACATCAAGATCTCCATCACGAGTCTGGGACGCAATGAACAATCTGGAGAACAAGTTGCAATCATTTTTGAGGGATGAAACCTGCAGCTCTGTCCTTGACTTCTGTCTGACTGATGGCCGGTTGAAGAGAGGAAGATTGTTTCTCTTTATTGGGTCAGTGATAGGCTTTGTTTGATAAATGTCTGACTGATGGCCGGTTGAAGAAGAGGAAGATTGTTTCTCTTTATATTGGGTCAGTGATATCTTGGTGTAGAGTAAGCCTCTCACTAACTGCTGTATCTGTTCTTGATCTCTGCTATCTAAGATCATTCATGACGGGTATCTGCCACCAACTCTCCAAGTGCTATACCATGATTGACGGGCATCTTGCTCATCTATATACGATACCAACTCTCCAGCTTTGTTATACCATGATTGACAGATCATTTCACGTGATATTGAGCATCTTGTGTAAGGTCTCCTGCACTAAGTTTACAGGGAGACCAGACATTTCACGCTTGATATTGAGCATCTTAGTTTCAGAGCAGCCCATAAGTTTACTGTGTCAGATGCTACCGTCTTCTCCATCTGCTCCAGCCAACTGTTAAAATCGACCACACACCTAACAAGATTGGTCATTAAAACACACAAATTTTCAAAGTAGCTGAAATGTACAAATCCAGTATTTGTTCTTACATGTTTATCGAGATCAAACGTGGAAGCTTTGCGCAGAGAATCAGTACCGGGTGGCTTGTCACAAAAGAAACATTTTTCAGGCAATGTCTGCGCATCTACGGTCTGACGGGTGTACTTTCTTGAAGCACTTGTAGTGTCTTCAGTAGTAGACATTTTCCTCTTCTGTGCCCGTTGCAATGCAGTTTTGTTATACTTTAATCTGCACGAATCATGCCACTTAGCTTTGTGGTTCTGAAAGGTCGATTGAATACCATCTCCTTCATCAAGGCGGGACATGTCTAAGGATTTTGGCAAGCAGCCGATCTGACTGAAGCTGTGGAGATTATCTGCTAGAGTTTTATATCCAGACCCTGTGCTGCGCATAGAGTCAGCTGGACAGGAAAGGGTCTCAGCAGTGTCCTCTTGACATAACACGCACTTGTTCCAATCAGTCAAATAAGGCAAGTCTGTTCCAGATGTACTATGCTGTTGGGGATCTAAAAGCTTGAAAAGTTTATTTGCCATTGTAATTCAGGCAGTATGCACCAATATAATTCAGTCAGTGTGAAAATGGGAATCAGCATCTACTAGCAGCTAGTTCATGAAAGTGGTTAATATGCATAAGAGCATTACCTGAAAGCAGAAACAGAAAAGCATTAATTTGTTAAAAAGTTCATAACAGTCACTTAAGTTATATAAAGATATTGCATGGAATGTACATAGCAGTCAAACACACGCTTATTACATCGTGTTTTATATACAGTATGCACAACATTGCCGAATTAGTAGCCAAAATATACATAATACCCGCCATTTTTAAAATGGCCGCCATTTCAGTCCAGTGATGAATCTGAAATGTCCCTACCTCCAAAAATTATTGTAAAGGTATGTATGGACTGTGTCAAATTTTTATGCTTGTATCACTAAAGGCACAATTTCTCCAAAATTTTCACATATCTGCCGAACTATAAAACCCCTTTTTACATTTGGAGGAGTATTAAAATCAATATCCTTTGTTTCTGGTCTGGATTTCTTTCAAAGTGACAGTGTCTTTATTAGATTTTTTTTTTGCCATCATTTAGGAATGTGGTGTTGAGATTATCTGTATAAACTGTCAGATGTACAGGTAATGTGTCCTGGCTGCTAAATAGGTGTTCCAGCTAAATTCCTCTGACATAATGCATATGGTTGTTTCATCTCTCTGGAAAATATAATTGAGTGAGTTTTTCCCTACAAGTTTGAAATTTTATTGTGGCCCCACCCTATACCTGGGGGGGGGGGGGGGAGGTGACATTATTTGAACAAATCAACAAAACGAGAATATGCTTCCATATGTATATATATAACTTACTGGCTTTTCTGTTCTTTAGAAGAATATTTTTAAAGGATTTTTCCTCTATATTCTTATGTAAAACTTTTATTGGCCTTTGTGGTCCAACCCTATCACCGTGGTCATGATTTGACAAACTTTAATCTACACCACCTGAAAATGCTTTTATATTAATAGTACCAATCAAGGCTTGATGTATCCTAGAAGAAGATTTCAAATATTTTTTTATATATTCTTATGTTAAACTTTGATCATCCGTTGTGGCCCCGTCCTACCCTGGGGTTCATGAATTGAAAAATTTAAATCTACCATACCAGAAATTGGTTCCGCATAAGTTTCATCTTTCCTGGGCCATTGGTTCTTGAGAAGATATCAGCAATGCTATTAATTTTGTAATTCTCTCTGCTTGAAGAATGACAATGACAGATAAAAGACAAACTTTGATCAGAAGAGATCACTTGAGCCTTCGACTCAGGTGAGCTAAAAAATTCAGAGAATCAAATATTTACCAAATCAATTAAACAAATATTTTGAGGTTGAAATTCACACACCCTGTTGGCATTCTGAACTCCCTGAGTATGCATTGAGTTAGAGTCATCTCCCTTTTATCTTTGCTATATTGCCAATACACAGGACATAGGACATTTATCATTTTTACGATTGAACATTCTATTTGTAGATAGTCTGTCGCTATAAAGCACAGGAGTTCGCGTACCTATCAATTTTACCGAAATTTTCGGTAAATTAAAAAAATCGTAAACCCAATAATGAAAAAAAAAAAATTCAAAAATTACATAATTCAATATAAATCATTGAATTAGTAATCAATATCATTTAAATTTTAACTCTTTCAATTTTCCTGAGCGCTACCTCCTGACACACTAAATTCTATTGAAAATATTAGTGTGAACAGATGACTAAAACAATCATTGAAAATAGAGTGAAATCAGAAATACCTGTGGGTGGTAAAAAGCTACGATGTAGGAACGATACTGCATGTTGTAGATATGAATTCACATCTTTTTTTACTGTCATCCCAGAATAAACCACCTGGACAGTCCTTTTCAACCAAAGTTCCATTTTGGCATTGGGCGAATTTCTCGCATTTCGTACATGATTGATAGTCTCCATCTGGCTTGGAAGTGCAGTCACTGACGCAGGGCTCTGAATAAATTTGTTTAATTTTTATATAAATCATAAAATGCAATGTCCCCTACAAATATAAATACGTTACAACATTTTTTTTCAAGAGGAATTTTCTTTATACATGAATTTTGGTTTAACATTCAAAATGTTTCCCTTTAGTTATCAAAAGTTTCAGACCGCGTTTTTGTCTAGCTATTACAACCCTGCAAACAACAACAGAATACTGAAATTTTTAAGAATATTTTGCAAAGCACGATGCCAAATCTTTAAAAAGATGATTAAAAGAAAAACAAAGACTTACCTGCACAGCTTGTGCAATTTGTATTTTCTGTCCCTTCCCCTGTGCAATTATTCCCGCCATATTTGGGTTCAGGATTGTTACATGAGCGACTTCTTGATTTCTGGCATAAACGCATACTATAAACACAATTGCCCCAACTAGACCAAGTCGACCATTGACCATTAACTATTGTGAGTAAAAAACTTTCAAATGTGAATTGAATGGCTCTATTTTACATAAATTACAAAATAAATCAGTTTTATACGTAAGCTTTCAAAACATTTTCAATTAGATATGAAGAATTGTCGATTTTTTAAAAAACGAATTCATGTTTTTTTTTTTAAATTCGTTTTAACGATTTTTATCTGTTAAAACATTTAAGTAAAAATCGTTGTATTCAAAATATTTTAATTAAATAAATTAAATTGAATTAAAATCGTTTTAGAGAATTCTCAATTTTGTAGGAGAAAAAAAGAACAATGCCTCACCTGGACAGGTTGTGCAATTATATGTTTCTGTTGCTTCGTCTGAACAATTTTTCCCGCCATACTTTGGTTCGGGGTTGTTACATGATCGGGTTCTTGATTCCTGGCATATACCCATACTATTATAAAAACAAGCGCTCCATGTTGACCATAGCGACCAATCACCATTAACTGTCATGAGGGGAAGAAAAAATTCTTAAATATGCATCGATAGATCGATAAAAATTACAAAATCAAGAAACATTCATTTGACGTTCAATCAAAAATCTACATGTGGCTGCAGAACTGTTGGACCCCTGAGAAAAGTCGAACAGATGAAGCAATGTTTAAGCCCAGGTGTTTGAAACACCTTCAGATTTATGCCGCCGCTTTTGGTCGCTCGTTTCGGGTAATATTTCTTTTATTTTATGTTTTCCCCCGTTTTCAGCATAGTATCCGATAATTAACCATATCTTTACTTTTATTCTTGAAACTTTATTCACCTTTCGACGGTTCCAAACAGCCCTTTATAGTTTTGGAATGTCGGTTTAAAAGATTCCCAGGTCCATTATGGGGGTCGTACAAAAAATAAAACTTTCAAAGAACATACGCTTACAGAGTAAATGTTAATTAAAAGAATCAGGTCTTAATATCATGTTCATTGTCTATAAAGAATACAAAAGTTGTATGCTAAAAAGACATTAGTTTCTACGGTGTGTTATTTATTGATGAATCCAACGTAGATGTCTGAATAGGAATTTTAGATGATACTCAAAATCCATTTGAAAACTATAGCGAGCGACAAAAAGGAGGCTACATAAATTGAAGGTTTATACAAGGTTTGTATTTAACAATGCAGTATTATTTAAGGAATCACTGTCTAGATAGTATAGTATGCCAGGACATCAACAATAGTGGGAAACATGGAATAATTTGCATAACGGGCGAAGCCCGTTATGCATAAATTATCCCATGTTTCCCACTATTGTTGATGTCCCTGGCATACTATACTAACTAGACAGTGATTCCTTATATTTCCATTTCATTGTGAAATAAAATTGTAGATTTAGACTTTAAACATGTAGACATAGATTTAAATTACACGAGGATTCCTCGCCCACTGACGTCAAACACAACGGCAGCCGCACGAGATTTTCATGCATGTTTGGTCTCCTTAGCGTCAGACTCAGAGACAGATACGCACGAGATTTGCATGCATATTAGGCCTCCTTAGCTCCTGACCTATTGACCTGCCTAATTTACATTCCGGTAGAATTATCAAGAAATTAACTCCGCTAACTTTCAAAGAGTTATCACAGAGAGAAAAATTAGAGTGCAACCTTTACGGCCAGGCAGATATACTAAATCATTTTTGATTTAGATTGGGATCTTCAAACTACACGTACAATTGGTATATGCATAGTCTATGTCTGAACAGAACGAACTTTAATCAAAAACGTTTAATCTACTATTTGTTTGCTATATATTTATTAAAATCTAGTTTGTTTCTGGGCTAGTTTAGTTTTATCGTGGAACGTCTTGTTACCACGAGAACGTAGTTTGCGGCGAGATACAATTTGCTGAAGATTATGGGGCCACAGGTAACTGCGAAGAGAATGTTTTGATAACATGCAAAGTCTGAATTTTCATTTCTCTTCGTCCAAGTGCTTTTTAGGAACTCCCAGTGACGCGTAGCGCTTGGTGCTGCACACTATGATAAATGCAAGTTTATTTATTTACATGTAATCTGTCATTTACATGTAATATGGCATGAACCTCAAACACCCAATTCTCAAACATGATTATATACATATTTAAAAATATGCTCAAAGTTACTGCTATAGCTGAGATTCCTGGACTATATATTTCTAATAAACCAATTTATGTCCGATCTGAATTTAATGCACTTAACAGGAAGATGCTTTTTAATCAGATCCAGCTTGCACACAAATAAACAAAGCTGAAGGTTGTTTTCTGGCTGAACCAAACTGTGTTGTTGAAGGTAAGTTGGTTGAAAACATATTACAAAACATCAATTATTCAATATATGTTTTATGTTCACGTGTAATAATAGAAGATATTGACAGATTTATATTATTTTCCATGCACTTTTTTATCATTATAAAACTCATACATGAAGAAAATGTATGATCAAGTGATAAATAAATCAGTATTTAATCTACAGTAATTACCGGAACCCCTCCCAAGTAAAAATGTGTCTTAAACACGCAATATTAAACATAATCTGTAGAAATAACTTACAGTTTATATAATTTCAAGGCTAGATACATGTACAAGGATATTAAAACAAATAGGTGTCTACGAGGGTTGTCGAAAAAATCGTGGACAATATTTCCTGAATGAGAAATAATTATCACTGTGTTCTAAAATTTTCACTTCTCCTTACCCCTGCGATATGATCAAGAATAATTCTTGAACTTTGAAGAAAAGTTCAGGAATTATATTCTTGAATCAGCTCATGAATTGTTCATGAAGATCCCATGAAGTTAAAATTGGACACTCATGATTTCATGGATTTTATTCATGAAAACCAAGTTCAAGAATATTCAAAAATTATTTGTTGTTCATGAACAAACTTGGATTTTTTAATTGCCTGCAAAATGATCAAGAATAATTCTTGAAATTTCAAGAAAACTTCATGAATTATATTCTTGAACTTTCAAGAAAACTTCATGAATGATATTAATAGGTTCAATGCATTTTCATGAACTAATCATGAATAATTTGTAAAAGTTATTTAGGAATGTTCATGAACTATTCATGAATGTTCTTGCTTTTTTGTAAACAAAATTGTAATAAATTATGCAAAATGAAAAACTGAAAAAGAAAATATTTTAATAGCATCTTGAAAGATTTCACAGAATTTTTGTTTTCCAATCATGGTAACAAAATCTTTGTTCAAGTAAACAACTCTGATAAGTGATATCGATAATAAATAAATTATGTAGTTCATTCCTAGTGAAATTATGAAAAAATTCAAACGCGACTCTTTGCAGAATCCTTAACCTTACTTGGTCAAGAGGAGTGTGGGTTCCGTATTCAGCGTATTTCAAAGTGTATGCTTAAAATGGAATGGTTTTTAATCCAAGTCTCACTGTCTGGCAGAAAAGTGTGTTCAGCAATTAAGGCATCAGCTAAAAGGGCTTTCAAGGATTTTGAGAAGAGGTGGTCAAATAAAAAAAAATCTTATTGGCTTTCCCTGTGGAATTTTCAGAATTTCATCACTTGGATACTTTGATCGATTACGATTGATATTTTCATTCCTTTCTTTTGTTTTTCTTCAAGATCCTGGATTTTTTTTTGGACAGCCAGAGTTTTTTTAATCTTCTGATCTCAACTCATCAACATTATCTGTGAACTGCTTCTCTTTTCCCTACAAGAACAAAGATTTTCTGAAAATGCTCATCAATGTGAAAACTTAAGACAATTTTTTTTTTCAAAATTGTTTCATTTAATTCTGCATCATAGGCACTGCCATATTTTTAAGCATTCCGAGCGGGAGTTTAGCCTGTTTCTCTTGCCCGCCATGTTCAAGATGTTTTAGGTGAACAGGATGGATTTTTCAATCTTTAATTATTAAATGTAACGTAATTTGGTTGGATCCTTACTCATAACACAGTTTGAAAAAAAATTCATTAAAAAAGACATAACTGAACTCTTACAAATAGACAGTAACATCTAGACAAATATCTCAGATTCAACGATTGCCTCCATTTTTTTGTAACTCACCATTAATATCTGCAGTTATTAAGTAAATTGATCCTCTGGATATTCCTTCTTCATATTCTGTTATTTTCTTCAAAGGTTGACAAAGAATGACTAGATCTACGCTAATAATCCTCCCACTCTACCGATTCACTTTCCAACGTCTCGCGCGTTTCAAAGTTTGCGCCTTTTAAAAAGTGTCATGCAGAGCTAATTAAGAAATAGTTTCGAATTGCCAAGATTGTTGTTAAACAAAAAATAACAAACACTATCTGAATGCTTTTTCACTGAAATTAATTTTTTTAAATAAATATAAGTTAAATCATTTATTGAATTGGATTTTTTACATTATACCTAAAGAGCCACAGTTTCGTATTTTCAAGTATGGCCGCCTCCATATCATGAGGACAACAAATAAATCTTGGGAACCACTCGCCCTCAAACAGAGTACCCTGAGCTATGTATAGGTATATAGTGTATAGGAGAATAGACTACAAAATACGAATGTGGGTCATGTCATAGATACTTCACAACCATGCAGCCTGTGCTGTATCATTTACACACGATGGACAGAAAAATGTGACTTGATAACTGCATCAAAATATAAAGCGTTTGACCCAAGAATAGTACGGACAAGAGATATGATTTTTAGCTGTAAATAAATCTAAGATACGTTTTTACGAAGATCATGAAATTTTTCCTAGACTATAAGTCTGTTTCATTTTCTCACAACTTGTTAAAAGTTTGACAAATAGAGAAAATTCGGTCGAACAAAGTTGTGTCGTGAAAAATGAGATAATTTAAAGCACAATATTAATATAGCTGGCCATTTTAAATCATGAAGAAACATTAGTAATTCAATATGAGAAAAAAATGCTGTCAATATTGATGCAGTGTTCTTTAAATTGCGATCATAATTTAATTACAATTTCCCTTCTAGACAGTACATAACAGAGTTTTATTATCCTGAAGAATCTAAGTTACCGATTCGGAGAGTAGAAAATAGTGATTTTAACCTCTTATGTTCTCCTACTTGTCTCTGATCCAATACTTTCAAAATCAAAACAAAAGCATGTCATTAATTAAATCAGGGGTTTGTTCAACAATTGCATCTGCATGCAAAAGTTGTATTATGGGAGTAATGAGTGTTTTCTGGAGATCGTTTGTGACAATTATTTTTACATTTTTAGTCTTCATGAAAATTCATGAACATTCATTACCTTGAACTATTAAGTTTTTTTCTTTAAACTGAAAATTAACAATATTCATATTTGTTCATCATTTGTTCATGAACTATGAATTATGAATGTTTTCATGAATTTTATTCATGAACAACTTTTATGAACCTGTTAAGAATCCTTTAAGAACCATTCATGAACAATTATGAACAACTCATAAAGGTTCTTAAAATCATGAATATCATTTCGCAGGGGTAGTATTTATTTTTCATCAATATTCATGGC